GAAATTAATTACCACCCCGGGGTGGTAGTTTGCAGAAGAACATTGTCAACGTGGGCGCAGTTTGGCAGCGTCTCAGAGTGACTGAACGCTGCTGCGCTGTGGGGAGGAATTGGACTCCGCTTTCCACAGCCATTATGCTGGAGTTGCTGGCACCTTTTGCGGGGATATCTGACGAGCCCGCAACAGAAATATGCTGATCTGACGCTGGAATATCTTAATAAATTTTATCTTAACTCTAGTCTGGGTGCTTTTCTACCACGCTACTCTTGAGTTGCTAGTAAATACCATGGATGGCTGATCCGAGTTATCAAACTGGTTGCTTCCCTGCTGGTGAAAGGTGTGTTTCCATGAGATAAACCCATAAACACCCGTCATTCTTATGGCTCCATACCAAGCGACGCAAAAGTTGAACCAGAAGCTCAGGTACCCACTAGGATTTGGAGAAACATGTTCACAAACCCAGTACTTGCGAATGCTATTAGCACACTACTCACAAAGGGATGCGTAATCTCCACTCAAGATATCATCGATATGGTAAAATTCGGCAGGCGAAACCTCTTCGGCGATGATATCAAGCTTTCATACACTCTCCGACTGGATGCTTCAAGTGCTGTTGTTAACAGGGTCCAACTAGAGTTCCATGTGTTTGAAACCTGGGGCTCAAAGAGGAACATTTCTGGCTCTTCAGACCAATCTTATGCTGTGTCACACAAATACGGTTTGATTCATGGTAGCATGACTCTTGATGGCATCAGCAGGAGAAAAGAGGAGTCAGCAGTACGCCGGTACGCAGTACCGACGATTCGACGCCGCACAACAACCACCAGTCTCACTTGGGCTAAGGGTGCTGCGAGGGTAGCTCGGTCCCATATGCAGACTCAAACCCGCGCCCTCGGGTTACTAGGCAGATTTGTGGTCCAACAGGCTACCGGCCACTATGGATCTTGATGAGAAACCATGTAACCTCTGTCGTAGGACACGAGACCTGGGACTGCCATATTCATGTTTATTTGAGTTCCGCGAACAAATTGATCAAGTTACCATGGGGGTAAAGCACAGTATTGCATTGATATTTAGGACTTTCTGAATTCAATAGTCTATAAGTCATGCTCATGTCGCAAATGTTCACATCAGGTTATCCCTTTACAATGTTTCGGAAAACTGGTAGTTCGGGTTGATAATTCAGTTGCCCATTCATTCACCGAGCTGGGAAATTTGTGGGCAAACACATTTCCCAGCTCGGCGAACGAATAAGCATCTGAGGTTAAACTTCGTTCACTGCTGAACAGTAGCTTAAAAAGGTGAGACCGGATTACATTGGACAAAGTAGATAAAAATTTGAAAAACAAGTTTGGCGGCTTCTTCAAAACTGGAATGATCTGAAAGATGGGATAAGTTCAAGCTTCATCCGCTCTGGCTACGACACATAAAGCACAACATAACCATATTTTCCAACTTCTTGCACAAACTTATACACGTTTCCCACCCAAACATAAAATTAACACTGTCAACAGTTGACAATAGGAAACAAAGAGAACTCAGGGGCAGGGCGCAAGTGATGGACCAGCAGATCTTGGAACGTTTGACATAACAGCTACACCAGAATCTGAAGCGAACTACCAGCCGTAGTACGTACCCGCACTCTTGACCACGAATTCGTATAAACGTTAGCAATTCCTTGACTACAGAACATGATCAAACAATTCTGATATTCCAAAACAGAAAGACAAGCGTAGGAGCGAGGTCTGGGTCTCATATGACTCAATAATTGGGTAATCATCACAATCTCCATGTGAGCTAGCTTTGTTATAATAAGGTTTCATTCCACATTACACTAGATCTGACTGAATCCATTTGTTTATTTCCACTGTTCTGTTAATCAGTGGCATATTTCCTGTTCAATGTGCGCGTTTAGTTTTCCTTGCACTTTCGGTTTTGGTCGGTTGTACTTATACCCGCGCAAAATCATGCTTACACTAGATCAGAAGTAACGCACTACTGCCATACCCTTCAGCTACGGTCTTATTGGTCGCACTGGTCAAGATTTGCTTCGCTGCAAATCACGATGCACATTGGGATTGCGCGTCGCAATGACTCCAATCATTCGTTAGTTATTGAATTAAAAATGATTCGCTCTGTTCTATCAGTGCCGCACATGTATTGTCCAGCTTGATTGTGTTTTCGCTCATATTCTACATTGGTTGTCTGATTTCCCCGGTATGGCTGCGTTTGATGTGAATGTTTACAAGGTGCTTACCAATATTATAACCTTCAAGACCATTACTGGCTCCAGGAGACTGCGAAGCATTTCCGAGGGACGGTATACATGGTCTTCATGACCGTGTGAGGCTCGACTTGCGGTTTCTTCCAACTTGTCAGGAGCTATAGCCCAGTCACCGCCCTGTGTGCGTCTATTACGCATGGTGCACAATTTTGATCAACAGGAATGCTGCTGCCTTGCATGTCGAAGGAGTGTGAGACGGCTCCGTTGAAGAAACGTGGTTCCCATCCACATGCCTCCTGGTCTTTTCCTTCAGGTTTACGCAGATATGGGACATGTGGATGGAGCTGAGCGTGGTGCGGCATAATTCACCTGTGGTCCCTGTGTAAGCACAGGAGTCTTGTGGCTGTCCCCATGGAGGCCGCAGTGGCAGGCAATTCCGGGAGTGGATGCCGCCAACCGTGTGAGAGGTTAATTGAATGTGTGCTCAAATCGATCCATTAAAAATTCGGCCAATTTGTCTACCTCTGCTCATCGTTATCTGATCTGCTTTTTTATTCTTTCAGTCCATCTGTGATCAACATTCTACACAAGTATGCATGTATTCAATCCTGCTGATTCAGGCGTGTCTCGTATCGTAGTGAATAAAACTTCACTTACCTATTTAGTTACTGTCTTGTTGGTAAAGAGAATAACCAAGATAAGAACAAAGGCTGTCACCGCGGCGAAATAAAGGTTTCACAAAATCGACAGTGTGGAACCGAATCTCCAAGCATAGCTCACCGAAATTAACTCTTTTCTGTGGGTGCGATCAACATGAGACATGGGTCCTATAAGACCCTCACGCAATGTGATCATACAGGCCATTAAAGACAAGCTGTCGCTATGCACTTCGGGAGACATATCACGGGTTCGGAACTGGGTCAAGGTAACTTCAAATTTATGTTTTCACACAGGCTATTACGCGGCAAGCAGAAGCCTCAGTAATACGCCGATAAGCAGTACAGACACTTCGCTGCCGCACAACCACCAACAGTCGCATGTGGGCTAATGGTACTGCGTGAGTCCCCCCGCCCCCACCTTTGACTCGAACCCGCGCCTTCGGCTTGTGATATTTAAGGCTATGGGCTGGCGAGACTATCGTATTTATTCAATTAGAGCCTTTCTTAGGCATACATACAATTCTTTGGCAATCTCAACATTGAACGTTCCCTCTACTGTGAAATCTCTTTCAAGCGCAATTACTGTGAGTTAATAAATGGTATCGTTTAGAATTGTGCGGCACTTCTGCTTTGGCAGCTGATTGCGCAGAGCACTCGGAGAGGTTTGCGGCCAAAGGGCAAGAGACCGATTCGGTTTTGTCCACTCACTCCTCGATTACGCGACCATAGTTGTATGGGTTGGATGAGCGGTTAGAAGTTGGCTCACCTAAACAGAAACGGTGTGCAGCGCTGCGCACAAATAAGAATGGGTTTGTCAACCCAGACGAAAGTGAGTGGAGGGCAGGAGTGTATGTGTGCCAACCGTATATGGAGAGGCTGAACAGCGAAAATGTGAAAATGTACCATGGTGACATTGCGAATCTAGCCATACAAATTACATTGCATGACATTGTTTCAGAATAACAGAGTTCTAATTGGTACCCAACCTTTGTTCTGAATGTCGGAATGCTACAGGGCAACTAGGTAATTAGAAGCAGAACCACTACGAAGAAGACCCTTTTCAACAACTCACTGCAGGCAACAACAGTTACAAGACTAAGCCAAACGTGGCAGGTCACCAAAAGCTGGGGATGCAATTGGCTGAGTTAACAAAGTCGTTTCAGATTGCAATGGATACCATCAGGTGGTACATGCCATGAGACCCGCGAGCACGCATATATGCACAATGCAAGGATGCGTTGATCAATGGGTTGACAATCGTTACTCTCGGTTGCATTCACTGTCCGATGTAAACGGAATTTCCTTAAAACCAGGGCAAAATGCGAGCTTCTGCCCGTGTGATCTGCTTTCACAACTCCAGCTGAAATATAAGTATTACTAGGCTCTGAGTTCCAGCCCAGCTCAGGCCATGGCCACCTGATGAGTCCAAACCAGGACGAAATCGCTGTTGTGGTGTGCCATTGTTGGGAGAAGCAACACCGAACTATTTCCATTTCGGATACGGACCTCGCGATCGGAATGACCGAGGTTTATCTCGAAGTGAACCTAGGTCTCAATGGAGGTTGCGTATCGCAACCCATCGACGCAGCGGTTTCCCCAAATTCGACTTTGAATTCCTTTCCACTGTGTCAAGCGTTGTTCAAGGATCTCGGTAGCGTAGTATTCAGGGCGTCCGCCGTGAACTACTAGGCTCTGAGTTCCAGCCCAGTTCAGGCCATGGCCACCTGATGAGTCCAAACCAGGACGAAACCGCGGTCGTGGTGTACCACTGTTGGGAGGAGCAACACCGAAATATTGCCATTCTGGCTGAAGTAGTTTGATTTATTTATGCAGCTACCGGCATTTGTGCCCTCATCATGCTATGCAAAGCATTAAGTTGCACTATACGTTTTATCATCCCTATGGTCTGCTGAGTAGTCACGCTGCAGACTCTTTCGATACTCAACGGCTACATGTACTGTCACAACAATAGAGAAAATCCACCTAACTGTCTTGACGTGTTGTACGCGGTAAGACCTAAGCAGCGAAATATTAAGTGATCTGGTGGAAATGTTGTGTGAATCAACCGAAGAAAGTTGGATATATACCATTTACATGAATCCGGTACTTGGTTTCAGACTTACGGTTTGAATACCGCCCTGCGTTTGCTGCACTTGGTAAGGCTACGCAAAATCAACTGGCGCAAATTGTATCGGATGGAGATGACAACCGACCAGTACCTGGACGAGAGACCTGGAAACTTCCTTCAGGTGAGTCATTCTCCCTAATATTAACAGTTCTCAAGTTGGTTTCTACGTAAACGTAGCTCGACAGTTTGGCCGCGCCTCACTCCAAAAGCACCGTGGCTGCTTTCGTATAAGTATCAAAACCAAAGGTGCACCAGCTGTCGTCAACTTGTCAAAGAAATTTTCTCCATTCCATGCGTCAAAGTGCACCAAGGTAGTAGAATTACTCTCATGTCCGTGGATCAAGTTAACAGACAAATTTTGGAGCCTATCGGCTTGTATTAGTTGAGAGAAACTAGGGCATACAGAGCAAACCAATTTTCCCCGAAATCCGGTGGTCAAGGAACGCGGTCAGTTGTTATGGTCCAGTTACTCACAGGTCAGTTGTAGAAGGAAATGAAGTGCTTTTAGCGAGACGGGAGGATTAGCAAAACTTAATCAGAACAAGACGCAAGCGAATCTGCAGATGGGAAAGCTACCATGTTAGAAACCAATAAATGGGACCGGAACCCGGAAGTGGGATTCTACAACAGACAATCTAGTCACCGTGCCCATCACGTCCTTTCCGCCTTTGCGACTACAGTAGTTTGAAACACTGGGCATTCATGTAGACTGGCAAAGGCATGCTACCAGCGAATGTTGAAACTGGGTTGGTCATGGAGATCCTGGATCAAGACGTTGGTGGAGAAGTTCAAGTTAGGCTAATGGCCAAGTAAAGTAGGGTGCACACAATGGCTAGTTAATATCCTGATAGTGTGGAACATTTTAACCAAACCGCTTATCGTTAAGACAAGATACATCCGAGGTTATCAGTAGCGTCCACGGATGACGCAGTGCAGTAAAGAGTTGCTACATACAAAGGATATATGAATCATTTTATCAAGTGGTTATCAAGTGTTAACCGTCTTGTGTAGTAAAAACTTGTGTGAGACAGAATACATGAGGAACCATTGGAAGGCACTGTCGACCTGACATCTTCCGCTGACGGCTCCAAGAAAATGCCGTAATGTTAGCTCAACCATGAATGGGTGGCTGAAACTTACCGACTGCCCGAACGAGATACTTACAAAACAGATCACGCACTTTTCGGACTTTTTCCAATTCATATCCTTAACGTTGCATAACTCAATTTCCTGTTTAGGGTATTACAAATACCATCCTGAGCAAACGTGTCCTCTTCTACTATCCCCTTCCTTGTGAATGGAATGTTCAAGCCCAGAAGAGCGAGGGTCTGAAATCGTGTCCGGTGTATTGGATAGAACGGACCGCGTCCCTTAACAACTGCAATTCAAATGCCACTAAGAAGCGAAACAGAAAGGACCTCAAGCTGGCTCTAGTGCTGCAATACCGCAGGCAGAAGAAAACCAATTTTACCATCATAGATGCGCTAGATGATGCTGATGACGAGCAAGCATCAGTTGAAAGAAAAGATAGACAGATGAAGAAGAATCATAACGGACAAGTTACTCACAAATCCAAAGGCCCGCTGGCAGCCATAACTCGTAGGTTAAAGCTGTTACTATTATTACCTAATTGTAAACTTCGCGCACAGAATTATCAGCCTCTTTCTGTGTCACTAGGCCGCGTGGCACATGACACCTTCAGTGGTTTATTATAACACATCCAGCTGTCTCGAACACGGTAAGATGTAATGCCCTCTGCTTACCGCCTGAATGAGTTAAGCGCGTACTCTTACACAACTATATTTTCCTAAATTTTTATCGTAGGTTCGAAACGGTTAAACTCGTCAACCTGTATCCGTGAAATAAAACATGGTATCGATCTCTTTGTCGTACCGTAAAAAGCTATACACATAACACTACACGAACAAAACAGAGGGCAACAGCAGAATCATATCTAGCAGACTCACTGAACGTTCATCTAATAGGAACAGACGACAGGAAATTTCTGTTCATCAACGTCCCCACATCCGTAATTGACTATATTTTTAACGAAAAACTAATCGTCGTCCAGGTACTGCTATGCTGATGGAACCGGACGCTGATGACCGATCAGAAAGTCGAGGTTAGAATATGCCAGAGGCTGAGTAATCCACGAAATCCATAGTTGCAGTGCAGCGTCTGTGAAGGATCCATTTCCGATCATTGCTCTAGTGTGCGCCATCTCGCCCTTCCGTAACGCGCAGTCACATCCTGCCAACCACGCTGATAGCTTAGTCGCACACAAGGCGTTGGTTGTTTACTACACAGGCTGCTAACGGTTAGCGGTCAAGCACATGAAAATCGATGTGCTCCGTTGTGCTTAGACCGATCGCTGTAATGCAGGCATGACCAACAACTTCCAACGAAGCACCTTGCGTGGTTATACGGAACCCGAGCATTCCTAGCGAGTGTCCGACCATCCAATCGCCAATTGTTGTTCGGCAACAATTGCGCGCACGCAGGCACCTGCGCCTGAGGAGCGTAGATTGGAGGGAAAGCCCATAAATTTTGTGCTACCCATTTGTACCATGTGGGGTAGCCGTGCGACAAAATCAGGCGACCCCAACTTTCACAGCGTGACAGTTTGTCGAGAGATGAGGAATAGACATGCCACATGAGCTAGTCGAGCGATCGATGGCTTCAAGTCGCTGCGCAGTACGCTGACTATCGTTCGTCAAAACACGCTTAGCCGGAGCACACGTTAAGCTTGGTTGACAATAACTACGGACGGGCTATGATAGCTTACGAAACGTAGGCCACTCGCCAATGGAACCACCGAGGGCTGTTGTGAGGCCGTTGTGTGTGAAACTAAAACGCGCGTGCAAAGTGCAAGCGGGAGTGAAGCGCTACCGAGGCTAGTGTGGTAGATATTAGATATCGCGTTGTCGGAGGAACGTCCACGTGATCCGCAGCTACTGCTGTTAGTTCACTCCGTTCCAACCCATCTGGAGACAGTCAATTGTTTGATGTTCTCTGTCACACGGAAAACTATGTTTCCACTTAAGTAAACAGACCAACCTGGTCTTGAGCAACCAAGGTTCGATGGGCGCTCATTTTTTATCACATGAATGATAAACTACAGCTATGATCAATGTTCTTATAGTTTTAAAAGTAGCTTCCAACAAACCACCTTGGCAACGAAGACATTGTTTTCAGTTAAGCCCTACACCTTAGGAATAATAACGGCTTAATAGATGAGCATTTGTTCGCTTTCATTATTTTGCATTCATTTGGGCTTAGCAAATTTCATTGCGAGTCAGTCATACTACTTGGAATTCACGTTTCCTTTCTGTACATGCCGCGTTTGATGAGATGCAATCAAGTACTGTAGTAGAAATTCATTCTGGCGCTTTTGTAAGTTGTCGGACTGTTGTCTGGTCACACCACCTTTAATTGTCGTGGCAAAACGCTCTATCTTTCTCTTATTTAGACCAAGGGACTATGAGTAGGTTGCCGATCCAACGTTCTCCATTACATTTTAGCACAAGTATTGTTGTAACTCGTTGTACATGGTACGTCATATGTAGCTACGATGTTTTGTTATATATGTTCGATGCAACACACAGTTATGTTTTTTATCTCCTGTTCACTCCGTAGCCACTTGATATAGTTGCATGCTACCGTTACATTTCTAAATTCAATTGCTGACCCGTGTTGAGATCTCGTATAATTATTTGACGGTGCCATTTGGGAGTAAGAAATAGAGTGACTCAAAGTATACAACCGCCTTCGATGTGCAGTTCACCTGCAGGACTGTGGACTACACTTAGATCCGCGACGCGCCTGTAACTTAAGGATAGTATCCCGCCACGTAACATGACAGTCAGTGGCACAGAGCGTTTAAGAAAAATGAACAATGATTTATAACGGGTAAAAAAGCAGGTGCTTGACATGTCCCGTAGGGTGGTTAGAGTGAGAAAAGATAGATCGAGGGATAATGGAATCGTCGGTTCTGGCGATTTGAGTTTTAATTGCACAGCCTTATAAAGGGATTATGAAATTAGGATGTGCGCACACAAAACAATAAGGGGAGTGGTTGTTGATCACGTAATAAGCGAGAAAATAGTAAAATGTAGCAAGGACAACGCTTACTGGTGTGCAACCGTCTTGGGTCGACGGGATCCAAAAATCCAGTATCCACAGTAGTAGCGTTTCGCAAATTGTGTGCAGGGGGTTGGAGTGACTCGAGTAGGGTTATGGCACTGTCCACTTTTTGTAGTGCACTAGTGCCAGCATCTGGTGCTCATAAAAGAGATTTTGGAAACGTATAGAGTGGGGGTATTTATCACACCTTCCGGGAGGGCGTTCCTAAGCTGTGACACTCGATGGGAGAAAAAGTTTCGCCGACATTCCAAGTGGCTGTACTGCGTGACTAGCTTAAACTAATGACCTCTTAGCGGGGTGTTTTGACTAAGTATCGGAAGGGAATGGCATGGGTGGTTGGGGTTTCTCAGCATCTGGTACACCATCATCAGATCGCCTCTTAGACGTCGATAACATCCACCGTATATTTTGAGGGTCTTCAGCGTGAGTGGGTAGGGGAGGCTGGTCAAACCTTTGACGCTCTTCGTTGCCCTACGTTGTGCAGTGTTGAGCGCGGTGAGATGGTGCTTGAGCCTGGATTGCCACGCTTGAATAGCGTACTCCGCGTGCGGTCTCATGTACGCACTATGCATTTTTGGGAAGTCTGAAGGGGGCTCATTCGGCCCACTACTGGTGTGTTGTTCTCTCATAGATCCCATCGCGTTTGGTTCTTTGAGGGATTCTAATTTGCCTAATATAAAAGAATAATTAGCCACTAAATTAGGAAGACTGACTTTAATTTCCTATCTATTTCAGAATTAAACTTTATCGTGGTAGTGGTTTTCTTTCCTCGCGCATCGGCGACGTGAATTGTGTTGGATAGTGGGTCCCTGTTAACCCCTGATCACTCGGTAACGTCAGTTACCATCATCCCACTTGATATAAAGCTTACGACCTCATTTTGTTGTTGGTTAACTGTGCAGGTTCAACAATCTCAAACTGCGGATTTACCGGCCGCTGAGTTCTTGAAGGTCACGCAGTCCTACCTGGCTGGGTCGACCCACTTACCCGAGCGGATGGATTCGAGCTGATAATCACCGACGTACGTCTGACCCAGTTGGAGTTACGTAGGGTCCTAATCGATGTCATCCAATTGCACACCGCTGTAGTAGTTCACCTCCTAATCTTTCGCATTGCGGTTCACACCGGTAACCGAGAGATTCGCACACTTGTCTTGTAAGCCGGAGCTCACAAGTTAGAATCCGCTTAGCTGAGAGTGACCTGCCTTCGTACCCGTCCCACGCACGAACTGTGGTTGTGGTGTGATAGCGAAGCCCCACTACGGTGTGCCGGTGTACTGCTGATGCCCTCCCACCACAGTTCTCCACCACACACCATTCTGAAACGCACGCCTATACATGTTAAACGCAGCAGTGTAGTTGTGCGACAACCAGAATGAGCGAGACTAGTAACTTATATGCAGAAATTACCACGATATGAGTTTGTTAGAATAATAGCGAAATTCGGAATTTCCTTTAGCATCTGTCTCATTTTCTTAAGGTCGTCGGCAATGTACTGTCTTTCGTCCTAGTGACAGGCTAGAGAGGATGGTCCAAGTTCAGAAGGCAGAGCTTAAAAGCTCTCCGTACATAGGCGAGTTTTGCAACAGGCGTAGTTATGTAACCGGCTGAGGCTCAGCTGTCATCGTTTGCAAAAGAGGCAACGTATTCATAAATGTTGCAGAGTCAAATGTATTTGTAGTGGTTATGAATCGCGAAAACAAGCAACCACCGCTCGCTTGATGACTACTGGCTGTGGTAAATTTCAGTCGAACTACCTAAATTTTCACATTGCTTTCGAATAAATCAGTGTGCCCCCTTTATCATATGTCCTTAGCTTTCTCACCAGAAAACTACTATTGGCTCTTCGCCGTGTGATGTTTATCTTTAAAAGGAAGCGTAAAGAGGACAAATGTACGATAGTTTCGACATCTCACAGCCCACCTTGCCGAAAAGGAAGAATCAGCAATTCGTTTAGTTCTGGAGATTTCAATGGCTGCTGGCTGGCCTGAGTTGTATAATCTGAATCGGTATCACTATTTCTTTTACATCAATTGGTATCAGGTCAGACTCAAGAGCGAGTTATATGACCTATCAGGCCGCTTCAGTCGAAACGGGGAAGTGAAATTCTTGGATGGCGTAGAGCGCAGTATGTATTCAAAGATGTCATCGGCCAAAGGATTACCATTAAAGTATAGGTTATGAAGCGTAGAGTTGTCCAAACAGATGATAAATGATAAATGATAAGTGTTATATTCCTCGGTGTTTCGAGGTGCAGTCCAACTATATGGTCTGATCAAAACCAAACTAAGAGGGAAGTGGCTATACCCAAGAGGGTGTATTGCAATAATGGCGTTAAGTTAAAAATTGGTTGAAGGTGGACGCAAGGTTATGGTTGGTTTGCTGGACAATTGCGAATTATAATAGCAATGCGGAAACGCACATATGGTCACGAGGTTTTTTGAAAAGTATAGCAGTCGTAGTACTTACCGGGTAAACTTGTTGGTTCCGCGGACAGCATTCATGACAATTATCTACTTGCTCACAAGCGGCACCAATGACCTGTGCATAGCAAAAGTGAAAAGAGGGATTAATTGGTCCGTTTGATGCAATTGTTGTCTTTTCTGAGGCCTATTTTGTGTCAACGGGTTGGCTTCTGCTCGCAATGAAAGACCGTTTCTGTATGAGATACCACCAGAGGAAATCGCCGACAGCAAACGTTCAGCAATCGAAACTGGAAGCGTTAATTTTACTCTTTAGACAAACGCGCAGTCTGACAGATAGAACTAATGACAGTGAGCAGAATGAATTATACTGTTAAACAGTGGCATTAGAAGAAAACTTGAATTAAAGCATTACTGGAGATTTACCGCTAGCAAAATCTGGACAGTAGTCGATCCACATATTGTTTACGAGGCAAAGCATAGGAACACGTGAATGCAACAACAAAACCAAGAGCGATAGCTGCAGAAATTGGTAAGAATTCAGTGTTAAACCACGAGCGATTAGTTATGAAAAACAACCAACACCGACATTTATGATTTTGTAGCCAGATTGCAAGTGAATAAAGCTAAGAAACCTAATAATAAACAGGCTACTTATTAATTTTCGGTAAAAACGTTAACCATAAGACCCTGCACTATTTGCTTCCGGACAAATTTCTGCATATTGCGAACCGCGTATTAAAGAACACGTGCAAACTTCCAGCATCATGTAGTTACTACAGTTGAGATAGCGAAGTCACCAATGTGCGTACACACACAAACACACGCACCCATACATTTTCGTCAATTCACTTCGCTACTCGCTTACTACCAGCGTACAGCCAGTGTGACGAACACGTCTGCACGTAAAAACTAGGGTCAAGCCGTTTGATCGCAACCGCTTCAGGGTACCACAGCGCACGTTATTTGCTGTGTAGATCACACGAAACCTAAGTCTGAGGTCAACAACTTGACCCTCGGTTTTGTATGCAGAAGTGTGCGTTCGTCACACTGGCTCTACCCTGGTAGTAAGCCAGTAGGGAGATGGTGAATTTTAAAACAGTTACTTCCCTTTAATTGTGAATAACACAGTGAAGACGAACGCTGGTAGATGCGTGCAACTGAGGAGTCAGTTACATAGGCGTGGCTGAGCGGGTTTTGAATTCCAGAGTGAAGCAACACTCGCCCAACTGCGTTCAGTGTGAGGCCAGCCATCTGTCACCCAATATTCCGTGTGCACACAAGCCACCAGCGTCATCTATTGGCAGACATGTGTATTTGACCCGTCATCCGATTGACCCGGGCTCCGAGTTTCGTCGTCCAAACCCATGCTCGTTGCAGTTTGCCTAGGCAGCTAAGACGTGCCCTGAGGTTACAGAAACAATCAGTGGTAGACCTCCGGTTCCTTTAGTCCTAGGACCATCGCCGCCATTCATCTCACTGCATTAGTTTGGTTGATAACACCGGTTGAGATGGTGAATTGACAAAATGATGGATGTGTGTGTGTGTTTGTGTATAATAGTGCATTTGTTGTGATACTATAGCATTGTACGTATTCTGTAGTACGCAATTTACCAGTTGCATAGAAACTTGGCCGGAATTAAATCGTGCGGTGCTTTGATGTTCGTCAGGTAAAAGTTACACATTAACTGTCACTGTGTATTGGTGATTCCCAGCGCATGTTAGGTACGTTAAGATCAGAAAAGTGTGCACTTCAATCTCCTTACTTGTTGAGAAGTAAATCGATCAAAATGCGCCCATAGTTTTTCCACTCTCTCGTTGAAAAGTAGTTCTGGACTGAGGGAGATGACCTACAGGATAGAAGAGTACATACGACAACGAAATTCACATACATATGAGAAAATCAACATTAAGAGATCTGTCCAGTAGACAAGGGGCTCCTGCTAACAATTTGTATAAGGGGCTAAGGTAAGTAAATAAATTAATGGATTATTCTCCTCACTGTGAGGCACGCCTGCAAGGGCATGGACATGGTAATGTACACACGTGTGATCGGCACGCATAAAATTATTACAAATTAACCAGCAACATACTGGATTTAGATGCGTCCAAATATATATATATATATATATATATATATATATATATATATATATATATATATATATATATATATATATATATATCGTTGGCGGCATCCGGTTTCGGATTTGCCTGTCACTGTGGCCAGACAGAAGGACGCCTGCGTCTACAGAGGGACCATGGATGGCTTGCGCTGTACCACCCACAGCTCCAACCACACACCCCATATCCAGTGTAAACCCGAAGGAATAAGACCGGGAGGCATGTGGATGGGAGCCACGTTTCATCAACGGAGCCGGCCCACACTCCTTCACAGGCAAACACAAGCACGCTATATTTGGGGAATCAAGCGCACACAAGGCGGTGGCTGGACCGTAGTCCGCTCCACACTGAGTGCATGGAACCACTCTTCGAGCCTAGCACGGCCACAAGGACCGTGCACCCCGTCCCCTCCAGCAACGACCAACTGTCTCCTGGAGCCAGTATGGACGAGGTAGTGGGTAATAGACAGGTAGGCACCTTGTCAACATGCACATCAAGCGCAGCCGCACCTGGGATGTCAAACAACAGCCAATCACTCAAAATGCCGATATCGAATAAAGTAAACGTATATGATGACATAAATACTCGCTAAATGAGCATATGGAAGAAAGTGGTTAAATGTGAATACGCGATAAGTACAAAATGTCCGAAAGTTAGTTTAAAAATACCATGCGATAAAATTACGCAAGTTTACCACAATTTGCTTGAGCAACGTGTGTAATTTGGGAGAAGATTATCAAGTACGCAGAACAAACCAAATAAAATGTAATGAATTTGATCCACATTAAAAAGACCTAGTTTAAGTGTAAGTTGTTATATATATATATATATATATATATATATATATATATAGGTGTGAATTGCGCAGGTTTCGACGGCGACTGACTCAAGAGCTCCGTCGCATTAAAAATGCATGGCAGACGGAGAAGGCGAAGCAGATGGAATGCCACGCTGAACGCCGCCAACACAAGGAATTCTTCGGCTCTTTGAAGGCGGTGTATGGACCGAGGTTGGAGCCGCTGAGGACGCTGATCGATGGTAGTTCAGGCGCTGTCTGCACACAGACTGCAGACATGATGCAGATCTGGCAAAACACTTTGACTGTCTCTTGAACAATCGTTCAGCGACCGACTGGCCTACTTTAAAAGACCTGAAGCAGCACGAGGTGAAGGTGAGTTTGGCGGACACGCCGACACTGGATAAGACACAGAGAGCACTTGCTCAGCTGCGAAACGGCAAGTGTGCCGGGGCCGACGGGATCCCACCAGAAGTATTAAAGTACGGCGGACCAGCGTTGGGCAATGCGTTGCATCACTTAGTGCGACGCGTATGGATTGAGAAGGTGTCTCTTGAACTTAAGGATGCCCATGTACTAACACTGACAAGGGCAAAGGAAGCAAGCGATGTGCCACGAATTATCCTAGGATTAACTTGCTGTTGTGTGGGCATAGTGATTGCTCGAATCTTGCTCAACCGCCTCGTCAGTCAGGTTGTGGAACCGAAATTGGCTGAAGAGCAATGTGGATTACTTACGGGGCGCAGCACTATAGGTATGGTGTTTGCGGCTCCTCAGTTGCAGGGGAAGTGCAGAGAATGACACCAGCCGTTGTACTCGCTGTTTATTTATTTCAGCAAGACATTTGATACGGTGAACTGAGGGACATTGTGCCTGGTGTTAGACAAGTTTGGTTGCTCCCGTATGTTTGCAAGTTTAATTGAAAATGGACACAGTGGCATGTGGACGAGGGTGTAGCTGAGTGGAGAGACCTCGGATGACTTTGCCGTTATCTCTGGTGTGAAGTTAAGGCTGTGCCCTCTTTAACATTTATCTTCATGTAATTATCTCCTGTGCTTTTGTTGCGACTTGTGCTTACGGTGTTCATGTGGAGCACGGTATTGATGGTAGTTTGCTGAACATCCCATGTTTCTGTACGAGAACCCTAGTCTGGGAGACGTCTATCCGTATGATGCTGTATGCTGACTACTGTGCGTTGTTTGCACACAGTACGGATGAGTTGCAGCACATGACTAGTGCTCTGGCTCACCACCAACACACGTAAAACTGTCTGTCCGTTACTTTTACCCTACATCGTAGGTGCATTCTGCAATGTTGCAGAGAATCAGCATTGGTGTTGAAGTATCGGAAACCACCTCGTGTTCCCGCTAACTTATGAGTGTTATTTCGACCGACCAGCAGCTTCACGGTGAGCTGTGTATCCGCGTATCGAATACAGCAGCGGCCTTCGGGAAGCTAGAGTAACGAGTGTGGAACAACCATCAGCTTACCATTGGCACGAAACTGATGGTGTACAAATCCATGGTGCTGTCCATTCTTCTATACGGTAGTGAAACGTGGACGATATACCGGCGGGATGTGAGATATCTCGAGTGGTTTCTGCAACAGTGTCTACAACGGATTCTGCGCATCGGTTGGTGTGACATAGTTGCAGACACGGAAGTGTTGCGCCGAAGTAGAATGTATGTAGCAGGGCTACGTACATTTTATGAGACACCTGAGATGCCTCGGACATGTGTGCTATTTGGATTAGACGCGGATACCGAAGCAGCTGTTATTTGGTCAGTTGAGTGTAAGTGGCACGTGGGGAAGTCGTAGCTTCGTTACCAGGACATGATCAAAGTGAGCCTCTCACTTCATGATCTTCAATGCAGATCATGGGAATCGAAGGCGATTGATCGGTGTGCATGACGCGATCTAATCACGAAGGCAGTTGCCGAGGTGCAGGAGAAAGCCCTCGTGTGTGCGGAGAAGAAGCGGCACGTGCGGAAGCGACAGACTCCGATTGGTTGTATTCCATCGACGTCGAGCACATGGTTCTGTAGCAGATGCGGTTGCGACTTCCTCAGTCAGGTATATCTAGTGAGCCATGAGCGAGGCCACTCGGGACCAGCTCCGAAAAGACGATGGGTGCTGCTGAGTTAGTAAGCAGAACCGGTGCAGCGTTTGTAGGTACGCTTCATTCGATTTACCAACCCCGCGCTTAGGTGCTGAGTTGCTCTATTTCGGGTAATTGATTTGCTGAATGTTGTTAATACATTTTTGCATTTTAATGTGTATCTAAAGAATTTTTTATTTACTTACACACGTCGCTTAAACGAAAATTGGTTAATTTCGTTACTTTATTCGCAGTTGTTGCATATGCTTTTTATCTCCTATTCTGCCATCTTGAGTTTATCGCGGAAGTGTTGATAACATATTTATTTCATATGCTAATTTAGTGAAGAATTAAGTCAATATTTCCGTATACTTTATCCGATTTATTTTATTTGATGTCGTCATTTCAAGTGATTGGCTGTTACTTGACATCCCCGGTGTGGCTCCAGTAGACAGTTGATCGTTGCTGGAGCTGACGGGGTGCAATATCATCGTGACCGTGTTTGGCCCAAACTATGGTTGGATACACATGGATTGCGTATGGAGCGGACTACAGTCCAGCCACCGCCTTGTGCGCGCTTGATGCCCCAGATACCGCGTGCTTGTGTTTGCCTGTGAAGGAGTGTGGGCCGGCCCCGGTGATGAAACGCGGCCCCCATCCACATGCCCCCCGGTCTTTCTCCTTCGAGTTTACACCGGGTATGATTTGTGTGGGTGGAACTGTGGGTGTTGCAGGGCAAGCCGTCCATAGTACTTTGGTAGGCCCAGGCTTCCTGCGGCTGTCCCCGTGGAGGCCGCGGTGACAAGCAATTCCAGAACCGGATGCCGCCAACCATGGGTGTGCGTGGAATTAGTCATGATGCGTGAGTGTGCTGATGTGACTTGGTTTTTGATTTTGTCTAATGTCTTTGCCAAGGTAGGAAAAATTCAAAGCGACGGTTCGAAGTACATGACGTTCATAAACTGTGTATGATCATCCGGAAAGGCAAGCAGCGTTAACTGTGAAATGGCGAGTCGTATCCGCCACATCTGCTTGTTGTTAAACGGACATTTATGGCTTTTTGTAAAGGTTGCCAGACGGAAACCCATCACGTTCTGGAACACTGCCGCCAAACCATTCACTGGAACGGGGTTAACTTGAGCCACCGAAATTGCGTAACTGGTAGGGTGTACGATTAAATAACTGGTACAAGGGGTAGAATTATTTCGCAACTCCACGGTATGTTATAACTTTATTCCGATTTGGTTATATATTACTAACCTTACCTTAAGGACTAATAAAGAATATTCTACGCCATCTGTAAAATCGTTGGCATGGGAAGTTTATAACAACAGGCGCTTTGTCATGCAGTTTAAGTAGGTTCTCTGAACCATTAAGACCAAAGTAGCTACACTAATACTTATCCACTGCGCATATGGCACCTATCAAGGAGCAGGTTGTTATAAGTTCTAAGGGATTCAGAATCCGGGAAAAAGCGAACGGTTTGTGGAAAATTGGTACGTTAGCTGGAAACGAGTTTATTGACCATATCCAATAGGGATGTCCAGTGTCTAATTGAAAAATGTTCCCACGGGCATTAGCTAACTAATATTATTTATACACCAAGACCCACAAATAGGTGGGGAAAGATCTCTAGCAACTTCTACTGTGTCGCAACTGCTGTCGAGTGTGAGCTGATTGGACCTGAATATTCACCTGGCATGTGGTTTTGTACCATGCCAAATGTTCAAGAAGAATAATTGGAGATTGGAACAATTGCTGTACTGACTACTTTGAGTGGTGGGAGACTGTTCTCAAATTGCTGCTTAATGTTTCATTGTTTACCTAGGAGC